CTTTCCAGATTTTCCCCATCTGTACTCTGCCCCCCAGGCACTCTCCCCACTCCATGGTGTCCCCACTAGCCTGAGTTGATTCAAAGGGAGGGAGAGGACGCCTATAGTCTCTGGTGCTGTCCTCAGTGCTCAGTGCCCAGGAAGGGCAGTGCCCAGTAGGCCCATCTTAGCATACCAGGAGAGGTATTGGGCTGGGTGGGCAGCTTCTGACAACCTGAGACAGGGCTGGGAGGGGTCCCTGGTGCCTAGCAGTTCTGCTCCAAAGTCAGCCCCACCCAAGCTCTGGAGAGAGGCAGGTTACAAAGGTCACTTTGGGTCCTGGGGATCCGTGGAGAGGAGCAGCTGACGCTGGTGGCCGGTCTAGTCAAGGGAGATGCCTGAGGCCTCAAAGAAGAGTTAGTGTCTGCTGAAACCCTAGGCCACAGGCTTCCTGCTGCGCTGCCTGGGGCCAGAACTGTTGCCCTTTGGGCCTCGGTTCCCACCTCTGTACAACTGGGAACGCTGAGAGGCTCTAGCGCCCCCTTGGGCTCCCTGACTCTGCCCCTGTGGGCTCCCCTAGCCTGCTCCCCACAATGAAGAGCAATGTCGGAGGGTTAGGTCAGCAGCTTGGCAGCGGCTTTGCAAGTCTCCAGCGGGCGCCTCCGTGGGAGACAGGCGGAGGCTCCGATTCCTGAGCTCAGAGGGACCAGCGGACTGTGTCAGGTCTTCTGGACAACTCCGCTGCCCCACCCCTACACCCTGCCCCCATTGCGGGACTCCAGGCCCTGGTTGGGCAGTGCAAGCCCAGCTTAGGGGACCGGTTTGGGACCAAGGTCATTGCAACAGGCCAGGGCCCTGGATACAGCCGGTTAAGGGTCCTCCTCTCAGTTCCCCTCCCCGCACCTCCCCCCGCCGGGTGTTGCTCCGGTGCCTTCAACTAAGTAAAAACCCCGGAGTTTTATGCGCAAGTGCTTGGGGGAAGTTAGGGTCTTTACTCCCAGTCACTGGGGTGGGGGTTCGGCGTCCGCTAGGCGCCGCCACCTTCCTTTCATCCCCAGCCTGGCCATCGCGGGAGGGCTGTGCGTCCTGGGGAGACCCTTCCTCGTTCCGGAAGGCAGTTCATTCCATTGTAAACTGGTCATGGCGCTCCCGCGTCGCTCGATCACCGCGACCAGAGGAGATGCGCCCGACTTCTCCGAACTGAGTTGCCCTCCCGAACTACATAGTGCCGGTCACCCTTGGGCGCGCAGGACGGCCTGGAGCCAGGAACGCGCCTTCTTGTCGCCCAAGGAGGCGCCAAGCACCCAGCGGTAGCCCTATGCCCCGCCTCCCCCAACGCAGCAAGAGTGAGACTAGGCCTCTGCCGGGCGCCAGCCCCTGACCCCTCGGCGCCTCCCGTCTCCTCCTTCCGATCCGGCCGAGTTCGTGAGCGAGACTCCAGGGACTTCCTCCCCGCACTGCCGGGTGGTCACTGGAGCCCTGTACCCGGTCGCTTCCGGGGCACCCTGGTGCGAGACCTAGAGGCAGGGGACTCCAGGGTACGGGAGAAGGGAGGGGCCCGGGGATAGGATCAGGAGGGGTTAAAGGCCACAGGGTAGCCCCACCCCCTGGCAGGCTGTGGACTGTGGGCCAAGGGAAGTGTCCCTCACCGACACTTCACCCCGGGCTCTCGGGCCAGGGGACGCTACTGGCCAGCGTAGCAGAGATTGAAGGCAAACCCGTCCCCACCCCGGCCCGGCTCCGCAATGCGTTTTCAAGCCGAGTTCTGTAAGCAGGCACTGGTGTACCCCGGACCAGGCTGCAGGCGGGCCAGGTGCCCCAGGCGTCCTTCCCG